GCTGATTACCGGCGGCTGAGCCGGTGGGCGGAGCCAGAACGTCACAGTATCAAGAGCCACGGTATCCAGGGTAATGTCAGCATACCACCAAGAAGGACGAACCACATCCAACAGGATTAACGGTGGACGCAAGAGGAAGCTGTCTGAAAGGGATGTTCGGGTGCTAACCCGGATTGTATCCAAAAAACATAAAACCACGGCTGCCCAAATCACGGCAGACTTAAATGTGCACCTCAACTCTCCTGTTTCCACCAAAACTGTCCATCGGGAGCTCCACAGGGTCAATATACACGGCCGGGCTGCTATAGCCAAACCTTTGGTCACTCGTGCCAATGCCAAACGTCGGTTTCAATGGTGCAAGGAGTGCAATCTTGGGATGCGGACAATGTGAAACATGTATTGTTCTCTGATGAGTCCGCCTTTGCTGTTTTCCCCACATCCGGGAGAGTTACGGTGTGGAGAAGCCCCAAAGAAGTGTACCACCCAGACTGTTGCATGCCCAGAGTGAAGCATGGGGGTGGATCAGTGATGGTTTGGGCTGCCATATCATGGCATTCCCTTGGCCCCATACTTGTGCTAGATGGGCACGTCACTGCCAAGGACTACAGAACCATTCTGGAGGACCATGTGCATCCAATGGTTCAAACATTGTATCCTGAAGGAGGTGTTGTGTATCAGGATGACAAAGCACCAATACACACAGCAAGACTGGTGAAAGATTGGTTTTATGAACATGAAAGTGATGTTGAACATCTCCCATGGCCTGCAGAGCCACCAGATCTCAATATTATTGAGCCACTTTGGGGTGTTTTGGAGGAGTGAGTCAGGAAACATTTTCCTCCACCAGCATCACGTCATGACCTGGCCACTATCCTGCAAGAAGTATGGCTTAAAATCCCTCTGACCACTGTGCAGGACTTGTATATGTCATTCCCAAGACAAATTGATGCTGTATTGGCCGCAAAAGGAGGACCTACACCATACTAATGAAGTATTGTGGTCCAAAACCAGGTGTTTCAGTTTCATTGTCCAACCCCTGTACTTGTTTGTAATTTTGCAAAATATGTTTTGCTTGTACATTTTCAGGTCGGTGTTGGGTAGTAGCAGAATATCAAGTCAATCTACAATCGAGTCAGTGAATGAAGAAACTCAGGATACGTTTTCCAAATGTGATATACCCATCACTTTTCAAGGTTCATTACTGCAAAATTATTCATGATTGTTTTCCATCTTGTGCATTTGAGTAAGATTTTGTTCTTGTTGTATATTTTGTAAAATACAAACTATGACATTTTGATATGCATCATTGCTATGGCTTATTGTGGCAGCATGTTCTCTGTGGTGCATGTTTTCATTTTTGTTTTAGCTACTCAGCCATACGAGAAGCAGAAAATAAATATAGTGAAAAAGCAAGTGACAGAGGACATGCTGAAAGAATATGTTGAGATATTTATCACTGAGACAGACACCATTTTATTGCTGGACATGTACCCCACTTTTGTCTCCGTGGAAGTTGATAATGCAGAATCTCTCATGTAAGTGAAGTCCTTTCAAATTGTTTTCAGAATCTTACATTAGCTATTAAATTACTTTAGAATGATGGATCTCATGTTCCAACAGAAAAGTCAACAAGATATTCTACAGACTCCAACACATATATGCATACAGTATGGGACAGGAACTCAAATGATATGTTGCCGAAATTGATGTTATCTCCATTTTGTTTTCACAGAGAGAGAAATCATTGGTATACGGGAATTTGTAAGACCAGAACAAAAAACGCTAAGTATGTGGATCGATCCATGCAGACATTAAACTTTGCAACAAAAAGCAAACAGCTCCAAAGCTACAACACCGTCATGGTGGAAGCAGGTTAGATTGTTTTGTAGTTTTACTCTTTTCAAGTGATTATTTGTGAAAATGTGTGAAAGGGGAAATAAAAAGTTAGAAAGTACACATGATAGAATTTTCTATGTTATAACAAAGAGCATGTATTTGGCTGTTGACATTTCTACCAATTCAGTAAGTCATTAAGAACCAATTATTTATGTTTGTTTCTTGGATATTTTGTTTTATTACAAGAGTGTTCTACACTAGCATGAGCAATTTATTAATATTCAATTACATATATATATATAAAGTGCCAAATACAGCCAAATGTTATGTCTGTATACTCCAAAGATACAGCCCAATTCAAGCCAATCTTAATCCAAACCACCGTAAAACAATAGTAATCTAATTAATTATAGTTCTAGTTTTTAAATTCCAGTGCCATGAAATAAAATCAGAATACACTCCGCGAACTATTCCCCATCCTGAGTGTGCAGGAGAAATTAAAAAAACTTTATATCAACTAGTCATCTTTTTTAACTGCCGTTAGATAATTTAACTAGTGAAATAAATTGATTACTAATACTTCACCAATAGTTTGTTTAATGGTTTTGTTTTTTTTATCAAGCCATGCTTATTGTAATTATCCTTCTGTATTTTCTCTCAGTCAATTGTGATTTGCGTAATTTGTCATTGTTTGCAAAGGTCCGCTATTAGAAACTTTTGTTAAAAGGAAAATAGAATTAGCGTCAAAACCCTAACCTTATTAGCTTTTTAGAAATGTTGTTTGTTTTTTAAAGCAGAATAAGGGAATATGTTTCAGCCCAGTATTTTTGGAGATCAATTTAAAGGAGGAATTATTTCATGAGTTTTGAATGGAGTAGTGAGTTACTTTTCAGTCCGATGGTTACCTTTGCCTACCCTATTTATGTTGCAGTGTTTTAATAACTGAACAGGTATTGCTTTTAACAAGTTCAGTGCATGACATCTTCTGAGATTGTGTCTTAAATCATGATTATTACCAATTTTCACTAGTCAAACATCATAAGACAAACATCTGAAGAATAACTGCGATAAACATTTTTTCGTCAGAGAAATTTGATGAATGAGTTCATTATTTGTGATTGTGTTAGTACTGATATTTTTAGTATAGTTATATCTTTAACCATTATGTTGTGTACTATCAGTGTCAAAGCAGAATATACTGTACAGTGTTCTTCCATGCCCACAGCCACCACTGTTTCCTATTGTGATATACACCACAGCTCGGAGGAAGATGGAAAAACAAACAGGCCTGAGATTGACTATGCAGAGGCTATTCTGGATGCTAACAAAAGTGCAGAAAGGAGCCTGTCAGTTGGCAGTACATCTACTTATGGTAACAATGAAAGCATTATTATCATTATCTTTATTTTCATTCTTCTTCATCTTCTTCTTGTTATCATTTGATTTAGTTGTTATAGTAGTAGAGGTGGTATTAGGAATATTATTACTATTACTTTCAATGTGACAATACTGATGATAAATATATAAACACACTGAAACAAAAGAGTGAAATGAGTTTGAAGTTTCTTCAACTTCAATCTAAAATTAGGCCAATCCTGCTCACAGTAAACCATATATAATGAAAGTATATCATGATTGTCAAGAGAAACTACTGTTATTTACCTTTTGAATAAGTAATAATTATCAACATCATTTAATCATTATACATTGCCAATGTCTCTATGCCTTCCGTTTACTTTTTTCCATACCCATTTCTTATTCATATCTGTAATGTAATTTACATTTTTCTTATACACATTTCCCTTAAGTCAGCACTTCTAACTCCCAGAAAGAAGTTGACGTATTCAAAAACTGGATAAACAATGAGTTGGACTTGAATTTCATCTTGTTGTCTGAGAAATTCCAACATTCTCTACTTGTAATGGAGAGGAATGTCCTGTGGAACATCTTCCAATATCAGTTGGCTGCTTACAGACAATTTTCCCTATTAAAAGGTAATCTCGACAACTGAAGCGGTTGTTCTCTTTTAGCTGTATTACTAAACATAACTGGTGATAATAATATTGATAAATGGAATGCAAATAAATTAGTATGAGTAATATTTTTTGTCAGAACCAGACGGCTTTAAGCATCCTCAGCAAGTGGAGCAGGAACATGGGGATAAAGAAGTTTGTCAATCTCCAGCCCTGGAATGTCTATGGATTTTCAGTTGTGAGCTTTGCAGAGGATATTGCATCAGCAGCATGGGTTGGAATAAGAAGAATCCGGTAACAGATACCAGAGAACAACTAATTGCAAAGTGCACAAACGATACATTTAAGAAGAAAAGGGGTCTTAAGTATAGATAAACGAAATATGTTGTATCATTCTTAATGAGAACATAATACTTTTATCTCCAAACCATCCCTTCCTTAAAAGTTTATGTTTTCTAAAATCCAAGATGCAGGAACTGCCAAGTAAGATAGAGTAGGCAAACTGTTGGGACTGGGATAACAGGACAATCAACCAAAAGTTTAATCTTTTCAAGCAAAGATAAGTTTAGGTTCTTATGCCGATTCCATCATTGAAATAATTGAAAATCAATGCAAATACAGAATTTCAAAATACCTTTATAATCTTTAGTATGTGAAATAATGTAAAAAATATACTGGGAGTCCACACAAATTTTGGTCAATAATGTGCAAGGATTAAAACTCATGTTAGATGAGTCTGACTTTGAAATATTCTAGTGTTGGCATGAGTTCATCTAAGCTGAACATAAAATAGAAGTATATACTGTTGTATGTATAGTATGTTCTGTAGTCAGATTTGTCAATGATTGCGTTGGGGCAATGGAAAAACAATTTTAAAATATTTTATAGGTAAACCTTAATAAGAAAAATCCACTATATGTGATTGCATGTGAGTGCATTTTTGTTTAGAAAGTAAGAATCTTTCATTTGTGAATTTTATGATTCTGTGACCTGTTCATTAATTGAATTACAAATGCATTTGACCTGTTTTGACTGCTAGGACCTCCTGGCAGTAGGATATGGTGTGTTTGACTCCAAGAATGAGAAACCAGGTCTAGTGTGTTGCTGGTCAGTCAAAAATCCCATGGTATGCACTTCTTTCTTGACTTCATTTGAACGTGTCTAACTTTTAGGGATCATCCTCATGTTTTCTCCTCAGAATGCATATTGATGATTGACACATTTATTCACATTGAAAAAACTCAAACTATTATGTTTTTCCTGCTGTAGTGGCCTGAGCATATTATCCAATGTGAGAGTGCTGTGACTTCTCTGGATTTCTCAGCCACCTGCCCCAGTCAGCTTGCTGTGGGGATGTACGATGGCAGCATAGCTATCTATGACTTGCAGAGTCCAAATAACAAGTTAGGTGTCATCAATAACTGGTGAGGACTGTGTGGGCATGTATTGTGCAGTCTCTCCATCCTAAGCTAAAACTAAACCTGGTTACACTGTTTTGTCTTTTTTTGTGTGTTCTTTTTAGTGATTGCCCAAATAAGCACTTTGGGCCAGTTTGGCAGCTCAGGTGGAACAAGCAAGAGCTAAACTTGATAGGTGAAGAGAAGGAAGAGACTCTCTTCTCTGTTGGTGCAGATGGCAGGATCACCAAGTGGTTTGTCCTCAATGGTGGCCTTGACTGTATAGGTACTGTACTCTGGAATAATCTGTGGATTTATTGTTGTCAATTCAGAAAATTAATCTTTTTAAAGGTAAACTAAAAAATATTCTATAAAAATCTAAAGTACACTCACATTTTTAAAACATTGGTCCAGAAGATATCTTTTGAATAGCACTGCTTGGAGCTAAATGCCTGTGTAACCAAGGGCCTCTCTTGAACTTATACGGCCTATGAAAACGAAAGAACCACACATAGCATTCAACATTCACTAGCAAGAACAGCAGTGACTTTTTAATGTCTAATCTCATTAGGAGATCATCTTCAGAACTATATACTGTCTTGCTTACAAACATAAAGGTCTTAATATTCATTCAGCATGTTACATTTAACTGCTCAAACACCACTCCAGAGGCTGCTCGGAGAGCAGAAGTCATCGGTAGTGTTTGTAGTTTCAGACAATGTAGTCTCCTATATTGTACTACTCGCTTGTTTTCTGTACTGCTGAAAGGATACCCAAAAGAGTCTGAATCTTCAAACTGCAAACCCTGATCCCCTGTTAATAGTCTTTTGAACTCCATGAACTAGCACTTAATCCTCAAATGTGTAATTTTTTGGTCTGGAAACAGCATATAAATTAGTAAATTCAATTAAGTAATTTTGCAGGACCAGCACTTATATGTTCCCGTTTGATGTAACTGGCAGCTCAAGGATGCCAGCAAGTCACTCTGAAATGTTTTAGGGGGCTGGGGACCCCCCTATTGGTGCACAATATCATGGTACAGGCGCTCAGCGAGTCTGTTAAAACTGTGCGCCTTCAGACCACTGTGAACACTTAAATGTAGTAGGCTAGTGACACTCTTACTTTGCTTGCTCAAAAACTTACAGAGGAGAATTGCACAGGTACTGGGCTCCTGTGTATGACCTACAGCAGATCTGTGACTAGCTAATGAGACACCAACCCTAACACGAAACATCTCCCATGAGAAATAAGTTCACCCTCTGATAAAGCAGTCCATTTACTATTTCTAGTGTTATTTTGGTCTGGTAGTGTGGCTGAAGTTCATTGCAGCATTCTCCTGGGCCCTTAACATTTGGGCATCAGTGTATCTAAATTTCAGGCAACCTCATTCAAAGTCCATATGGGCATCAATAAGTTTAGTTCCAACAGTGCTCTCCGCATAGAATTTCTCATCAAATAGAATGCATGCTGCCAGGATTTCTTACTACAATGATGGATGGCAGTGATAGTGCTCTCACCCCTTGCAGAAATTTGTTAGTTTTGCGAATGTGGGACTCTAGTAAAATCCAGAAAAACTTGTTATGACCAGTTATTACAGCATTAGTAATTATGTAAACTGACCTTTTTTGCCAATTATCAGGCTGCATGAGACATGAAAACTTATTCTGACAGATTAATGCAGTGTGAATGAATGGCAATTAATTTATTATTTTTGTTATAATAGATACTGTCATGATCATTATTAATAACATGATTGTTGTGTTAGACCTGATGAAACTTGACAAAATCAGCAATACAAAGAGGAAATCTGGAGGAAACAAGACAAAGGAGACAAGAAAAAAAATTCTGTCTGCAGTGACTCCCGGTCTGTGTTTTGACTTTCATCCAACAGTAAGTTGTTAGGAAAATTGTATTTATTTTATATTTGGTTTCCACCAAGGATAGGCATTCTACTTCTTATGATACAATGTCTTTTTAAATGATCTTTACAATTTTGTTCTGTGATAACATTGTTCCTGCAGGATTACAGTAACTACTTGACAGGCACATGGGAAGGTCTCATCCACAGGTGCTCCTGTTCAAACAGTCAGCAGTCTTTGGAGACTTATCAAAAGCATTTTGTAAGTCTATTATGTTTAAAACCACTCATGTTCCTGCAAAGATTTGATTTTGTTTATGTCACGCTACCTGCAATTTGTAAGTATGGTAAATATACTGTATGTATGTTATGTCTCACAGTTCACTGCTTACTGTAGCTGTTTTTCTTTGTTATAAGTGCCAGACTGTCTGTTGTAGCATGTCTTGGTTCTCGTGTGGTTGAATCTATTCAATTAAATTAGATTAAATTGTATTTATATAGCGCCAAATCCGACAAGGGGCAGGCAGGAATACAAAATCCAAGAAGGCAAACGTAAGGTCAGTACAGGCAGGCAGAACAAGAGAATGCGGGAAAGCTTGGCACGGAATAGCACAAGACAATCTGGCAGGGAACAAGTGGAAATGGAGTGGTATAAATACTGAGGACCAAATGAGCTAATGAACAGCAGGTGAGGAGATGGGCGGAGAGAAGCAGGTGAGGGGGAATGAGTGATTGCATGACAGGGAAGGGCCGGATCTGAAATGACAGGAGAGTTAGTGATGAAAACAAAAACGAACTCAGTTCTAGAGTAACTACGTTACACATACGAATTTTCCAACATGCAAAGTGAAATTTGATCAAATATCAGTCATAGGTCATAGAAAAATATAAATAAAATATAGAAATTAAATAATAATAAATAAGTTCTCCCCGTGACCCCATTAGGGAATAACGATAAGCGGTAACGATAATGGATGGATGGATGGATATTTAAAAGTTCACGTAGTGAAAGTTAGAGTAAGTTACGGTACGTACTGTATCTCAGTCACAGTATTTATTAAGGAGTTATTGTAGGACGATACGAATATTTTAACATACGAAGTAGGGTCCCGCTACAATTCTTAGAGGTTCTACCATATATCTCATATATGAGAATCAGAATCAGAATCAGAAATACTTTAATAATCCCAGAGGGAAATTATTTTTGTTACAGGCTCCATAAGTAAAACAAAGGCATATACATATATACATGTCTGTACATATATACATATATATATACAAAATTCCTCATATAATATAGCTAGATATATAAAATAAGTGGTGGATAGTGTCAATGATTAAGTTTGACTCTCAGAGGGAGGCGTTGTACAGATTGATGACCACAGGCAGGAAGGATTTCCGGTGGCGCTCTGTGGTGCATCTGGGTGACAACAGGGGTCATAGGTGTTTTGGCCCTCCTCAGATCCACTATCAGCTCCTTTGTCTTTGTCACATTGAGCTGCAGATGGTTCAGTTTACTCAAGGTGACAAAGTTGCCCACCACAGTCCTATATTCACCTTCATCGCCCCTTTCAATGCAGCCAACTATTGCTGAGTCATCAGAAAATTTCTGAAGGTGGCAGGTCTCAGTGCAATAGCTGAAGTCTGAGGTGAAGACGGTGAAGAGGAATGGAGGGAGGACAGTCCCCTGAGGGGCCCCGGTGTTGCTGATCAGCCTGTCAGACACACAGTTCTGTAGGCGTACATACTGTGGTCTGCCCGTCAGATAGTCAACAATCCAGGAGACGATGGGGGCATCCACCTGCATCGCCGTCATCTTTCACCCAGTAGAGCCGGACGGATGGTGTTGCAAGCACTGGAGAAATCAAAGAACATGATCCTCACAGTGCTCACCAGCTTGTCCAGATGAGTGTAGACTCTGTTCAGCAGGTAGATGATACTGACCTGTAGTGGATCCATGAAGGGCCTGACCATAGGCCTTAGCTGTTCCAGAACTAGCCTCTCGAAGGTCTTCATGATGTGGGACGTCAGTGCCACCGGCCTGTAGTCCTGAGGGCCGTTAGGACGCGGCGTCTTAGGCACAGGAACGAGGCAGGGCGTCTTCCACAGCACGGAGACTCCCTTAAAAATATTTTGGCAGGGCGGCACGTGATGTGGTGGTTACCATCATTGCCTCACAGCAAGAAGGTTCTGGGTTCGAGTCCCCGGGGTCGAGAACCTTTCTGTTTGGAGTTTGCATGTTCTCCCTGTGTCTGCGTTGGTTCTTTCCGGGTTCTCCGGCATTCTCCCACCATCCAAAAACCTGCATGCTAAGTTGATTGGACATTCCAAATTGCCCTTTGGAGTGAGTGTCCTTGTGTGTCTCTGTGTGACCCTGCGATGGACTGGCGGAGCATCCACGGTGTACCCTGCCTCTCGCCCATTGACTACCCCTCTTGGCCCAATTAGGGAATAATTGGGCCAAGAGGATGGATGGATAAATATATCTTGGCAAGGAATCCAAAAGTTTTGCTCTGGCTGTTGATAAACTGTTTATGTTTAAATTCTTAGCCAAAACTAAAAATCAAACAGCTTACCATAAGCCTTCAGGTATTGAAGTCCAATAGAAAAAACACATGACTGCGTTCTGCCTGAGAATAATGAGAGATTCCGCTAGAAATATTGATGTTTTTTTTTCTCTCAGTCTGCTGTGAACTGTGTCGTATGGTGTCCACTCCATCCTGGTATGTTTCTGAGCTGCGGAGCTGACTGGACCATCCATCTATGGCATCAGGACCGCCTGAACCCTATAATTTGCTTCACCTCTGCCCATAGGGCCGTGTGTGACATTAAATGGTCCCCACAGAAGGCCACAGTATTCGGAGTTGCTTATGAGGGGCAGCTTGAAATCTGGGACCTGAGTTCAAATTTGTAAGTAATTAATCTGTCTGCTTTCCTTTTCCATTTCTAAGGTTTCATGTCCTTAATTTAAATATAACTTAAAGTGAACAGCAATATATGGCATTTTATACTGTACCATTGTTATATAAAAAAATGTAGAAGCAGTGTGGGAAAAGCTAATTTAAGGCTTTTCAATGTTGTAGAAACTCTATTTGTACAAATAATTGTCCACAGGAAAAAGTACCAGAAATCTCTCAGAAATCTCTCTTTTTCGTGTAAACACATCCAAGACATATATCCCATTATCTATACTGGGGAGAATAGTAAAGTTGTTATATCACAATTTTAATGCAAGAGCAGTTTTCAATCAATGTTTTAAGGCGCCACAGGTATCTTTTCACAGTGTTTAAGATAGTTTTGGGTTCAACTGCAAGAAGAGGCCAAGAATTTTAATCTTGGCCTCTGCCTGATTGATTTTCAAGAAAACGTGACATGAATTTATTCTTTTGAAGCATGCAAGTGATTAACAGGTTGACTTTTGTGTGCATTAGGCCATCTAACAAAAGACAACATATCTGTTTTTCATTTTTATTGTATAACACCATGTTTGGCACATTCTGAGGATGTATGTATCCTGTGAAATGCCGCTTACCATATTTCATCTTGAATAAGGGTTCCCTCTCCCATACAGATTTGATATTACCAAGCAAGACAGTCTGTAGGAAGAAATTCTATTGTAATTGGATGTTAAAGCCCTTCTAGTTACACCGAAAGTTAGGTTTCAGTTGTGAGAGCCTAGAGCTGAATTCACGCGTCTCTTTACTTTGAAAAAGCATCTATTAAGGCTCGTTATCAAGGAGTGAGGAGTAGAAAATAAAGATACTGTTGTCATTGAGGTTGGCTTGGTCAGATTAATGAGGGAAGAGCATAGATATCTTGTAACCAGACTGAATTATTCTATGATTGGCTGCGCGGCAATAAAATGTAAAATCTGGAAAACCAAGGTCTCCATCTGATCTGGGTCCCTCCAAAAGTGATTTAATATTCTTACAGCTTTTACTGTCTAAATATAGGGGTCATACAACCATTCTTTGTTTCTTAACTGTTTGGATTCACTCTTGTTAAAGGACACCGTACACAGATACAGAAATGCATTAAAAGAAACAACAATAAAAATCAATAAAATAGACAATGGCAATATCCATAGGCCTCAGATAGAAAAGGCAGTCTTAAACAGATGTGATTTGAGTTGTGATTTGAAATGGGGGAGTGAGTCGATGTTTCTGAGTTTGGATGGTAATGACTTCCAGAGCAGAGCAGCTGAATGCTCTGCTCCCCATGGTGCTGAGACTGGCGGAGGGGACAAACAGGTGTATGGAGGAGGAAGAACTGAGGGAGCGGGAGGGAGTGGTAACATGGATAAGGTCACAGATATGAGGGAGCGAGGCTGTGGATAGACTTAAATGTTGGCAGGAGAATTTAAAATTGAATAAAGAACTGAACCGGGAGCCAGTGGAGCTGTAGGAGGACGGGAGTGATTTGGTGGATCGAGGGGGTTTGAGTTATGAGGCAGGCAGCTGATTTTTGGACCAGCTGAAGTTTATGGAGGTATTTGTGAGGGAGACCAAAGAAGAGAGACGGTGGAGTTATCATTTGTGAGAGAAAAGTAGTTGGTTTTGAATAAGGTGGATTTGGTGCCAATGAGGAGAACCTCGATTTTGTTTCTGTTTAGTTTAAGGAAGTTTTGGGTAAACCAGGTTTAAACTTAAAGATGCAATCGGTGAGGGAAGTGGGGGGAAAAGTTTGGGTTTAGTAGTGAGGTACAGCTGGGTGTCATCAGCATAACAGTGGAAATAAAAGTAACATTTTCAGAAGATACTGCCAAGGGGAAGGAGGTAGATGATGAAGAGGAGGGGCCCCAGGACTGAACCCTGGGGCACCCGTGAAGTGACGAGGGAGGGGATGGATTTAAAGGACTTGAGCTGAATGAACTGACTAAACCAGTCTAATGAACTGTGGGTGATGCCAATGAAAGATAGCCTGTTGAGGAGGGTGTTGTGACAGTTGGTATCAAAAGCTGCACTTGTCACGTCCGTGGACGCAGGAGGACTCAGGCGCAGAGTGGGTTCAAAAATACAAAATTTATTAACAAAGGGCGCTCTCGAATGAGAGGGCAAAACACAAACACAAGGCGCTCCGTAACGGAGGACAAAGTATCAACAGAAAAAGCACTCGAACCGAGGCTGGGAAAAGTTACAAAACAAAGCTGAAAAGTAACAACGTAAATCTCTCACTAAGGAGGCTGGACAGGAAACAAAAGTAGCAACAGAAATACTCACTAGGAATGTTACTTCTAGGAGGGAAAAAGACGCACTCGTGGCAGAGGCAAAAACTAAGGGGCTCAGAAGGCAAGGAACAAGGGCTATGACTGTGACGAGGGCTAAGGATAAGACAGGCTCTGTGGTTGGGAACGAAACACACTGGCACAGGACAAGGGGAGACGAGGACTATTTGAACACGAGAGGGAAGGGATGCCCAGGTGCAGACAATAGGTAATCAGGGAGACGCTCAGACTGGTGACACAACAGGAAGTGCAAGTGACCTGAAACGAGATGAGGGTTATTCTTCAAAGTAAAACAGGAAATGACGAGACTAGAAAAAGACGAGACAAAAACCCCTTCACCAGGGCACCTTCGTGACAGCACTCAGGTCAAGAAGGATGAGGATGGTGAGTCCAGAATCAGCTGCCATGAGGAGATCGTTGGTGATTTTGTTGAGTGCTGTTTCAGTGCTATGAAATGGGCGGAAACCGGACTGGAACCATTCATACAGGTTATTGTGGGATAGGTGACAGTGGAGTTGCGAGGCAACTATTTTTTCAAGGATTTTGGAAATGAAGGGTTGATGAGAGAGGACAGAAGTTGTTGAAGTTAATGTGGTCGGAGCCAGGCTTTTTCAAAATTGGGGTAATGGCAGCAGTTTTGAAGGATGTAGGGACAGTTCCAGTGGTGACAGATGAGTGGATAATGGAATAAATAAGGGGGACCAGAGAAGGGAGATAGCCTTTAACAAATTGTGTGGGTAGGGGTCCAGTTGACATCTGAATTATGGAGTAATCAGAGAGACAGCCTTGGGGAAGAAACAGTTTTTGTGTCTGGCAGTCTTGGTGAACAGAGTTCTGTAACACATACCAGAGGGAAGCAGTTCAATCAGTTTTTGTGCAGGGTGTGAGGGGTCTGCAGTGATGCTTCCTGCCCGTTTCCTGACTGGACTTGTATAATGGGGGACAGGTCGGCCCCAGTGATTTTTCCTGCAGACCTGATTCCATTCCTGTTGTCACTAGCTCATGCAGAAGGTCTCGCATTACCAAACGGTACCGCAACCTTCATAACCTCCGCTCTCTTAAAGAAAACCTCCCCCTGTGACACACCATTGTCTGTGGGGTTTTGGAACTGCCAATCGGCAGTAAACAAAGCTGACTTCATAACTGCTTATGCCAAACACCTGTCACTTGACATCCTGGCTCTCACTGAGACCTGGATTAAGCCTGAAAACAGCGCTACCCCGGCTGCACTTTCAATCAACCGCACATTCTCCCACACCTCTTGTACGTCTGGGCGAGGTGGTGGAACAGGCTTGCTAATTTCCAACAAATGGAAATACACCCAACTAATGCCTAATGCCAAATACAATACTTTCGAATACCATGCCATCTTGGTCACTGCACCAGTCAAAATCTGCATGACTGTCATTTACAGTGGCGGACCGTGCATTTCACACCTAGGCCTTCAGTAGTGCTCCGTCTGAATCAATTCACCCCTCAATAACTATTTTATGGTTATAGAAATCATCTTATTATGTAGAAATACAGTAGGGATGTCCCGATCCAGCTTTTTGTATTAAAGTTGAATTTTTTTTTCTACTTACTTAGTTGTCAGACTCATGTTGAACAGGTATTTACTCTTATAACAACTAAAGTTTACACAGACTCTGTGCTCGGGTGGGATCGGACTTTTAAAAAAAATGTATCTGGAGTCTCGATTGGCATTTTCTCATGCCGGCCGATACGATCCAAATATCGGATCAGGATCCTAAAATACAGTCTAAAGATCAGGGGTGCACAAGTCTTCTACTCCTGCAGCTACAGCTGCGACCCCCCCCCCCCAAAAAAAAAACAAAAAAACATCAATAATATCCTCATAAACTCGCAATACCATTTAGGAAAAAAACTACATTTTACTCACTTACTTTTCTTGAAAAGTCCGTTTTGAAAATGGTCTTGACAGTAAATCCGCCACGAAATCATAAAATAGCTATTACACCAACACAACTATATTTCGGTTTGTTTGCTAGCTTTGCCCTGATTGGATATCTGACTATCCAATCAGCGGGTGTGGGTACGGTGGCATTTCCCGGGCCTTCGGGCAGGCCCTGGCATGACCAACATAAAATCTGATTGGTTGAAGCAACAATGTACTCGACATGTATTTTCTGTGGGGGGGGGCCTGCAGAACGGATTGTGAAGGCCTCCTGGCAGACATCTTTGACTTTGACCCTGCCTAGCGACAAAGGATGTCTGAAATGTGATTGGTTAAATGCTTTTATATGAAAATACATGTCTGGAAGCGGCGCAACCAGGGGGAAAGCTATGAAAGGAAGCTGACAGACTATTTCGAGATATTTAATAAGTTTTCATGGACAAAATATAATTAACATCAGTCTGTGATTCAGATATTTTCTTAGGCCTTCAGAGAAGGCCTTGAAGGCCCTGACGGTCCACCACTGGTCATTTATCGCCCACCAGGACAACTAGGCGACTTTCTAGATGAACTTGATATCTTACTCTCCTCCATCCATGAATATGATTGTCCCACAATGGTCCTTGGTGATATGAATATCCACCTTGACTGCGCTAACTCCTCTGATTTTCTCTCACTAATGAACTCCTTTGACCTACAACTGGTCAGCAGTCCTCCAACTCACAAAGCCGGCAAAGCACTTGATCTCATCTTCACAAGAAAATGTGCTGAAGAGGCCCTCTCTGTCACACCTCTGCACTTTTCTGATCACTATTTCATTAAACTCAGTGCAAATCTTCCAAAAAATCCCTCTGCTTCCACCTCTGTAGTTTCCTTCCGCAAAAACCTCCGCAAGCTCTCACCTACCCACTTCTCCTCCCATGTTGCGTCCGCTCTCCCAAACTCCAGCACATTTTCCTCACCTGAGGTTAATGAGGCCACGGAGACCCTTTGCTCTAGATTGAGCTCCTTCCTGGATAGTCTATGTCCTCTATCCACTAAACCTGCTTGAGCTTCTGGGTCCCACCCATGGCTTAATGATACACTCAGAGCACTACGCACCAGCCTCAGGGCTGCAGAACGTAAATAAAAATATCCAGAAGATCTAACAAAATTTCAGGCACTGCTGTCTGCATTCTCTTTAAGCATCACTGATGCAAAAAAGGCTTTCTATACTGATAAGATTCACAGTACAACCGACACTCAAAAATTATTCTCCATCTTCAAAACTCTGCTTAAACCTCCTCTTCCGCCACCTGCTACTAGCTTAACGGCAGACACGTTTGCCTAATTTTTTACTGACAAAGTGGCAGCTATAAGCAAACAGTTTACTGAACGGCCTGCACCTGAAACTTCTCACAGTACATATACAAGCAGAAGTTCTACTGCTTTGTTCTCTTCCTTCGCTCCTCTCACTGAGAGCAATGTGTCCAAACTTCTCACATCTAGGCGTCTTACTACATGCTTGCTGGACCCAGTTCCTACAAACTTACACGAGTCCATAGCTCCTACAGTAACTGCAGCAGTCACACATGTTATCAATGCTTCGCTGATGTCAGGTACATTTCCCAGCTCATACAAGCAAGCTTTGGTCACACTGCTGCTCAAAAAACCCTCTCTCCCACCAACTCAGGTGGAAAACTATCGTCCGGTTTCTCTACTTCCATTTCTGTCAAAGACCATTGAAAGGGCAGTTTTTAAGCAGGTCACAGACTACCTTTCACAAAACAATCTTCTTGATACAAATCAATCTGGGTTTAAAAGTGGCCACTCCACTGAAACGGCTCTGTTGACTGTGACTGAAGCCTTAAAAGAGGCAAGAGCGACTGCCAAATGCATAAACATAAACAAACATAATTGTCCATTGCAATCTTTACCTGTCCTGTTTAGTGGCCTCCAAACCAGACAGTGATCAATGTACACAGGACTGGATGATGGAGGTGATGAAGATGATCAGCAGGTCCTGAGGCAGCTGTCGCTAAAAGTACAACCTTTGCTGCGCCTTTTTCCTGACAAAGTCTATGTGGGACTTCCACTTGAGATCCCAGGCAATTGTTGTCTGGAATTTATTGGACACAGTTAAGTATATCAGTGGTGGGATCTTCACAGACAAAAACCCCTAAGTCGGCAAAGATCCCTGAACTCCGTGTGTGATGGTTCTTTGTCTCCTGGGCTGGGCACACCCCTCAAAGGAGGACTGGACACAACCAAGTCCTATTGGCTAGTTACCTCTGAGACTAACAAGCCGGGTCCTAATTCATGTTGATGACATTGGAATGTGGCACCAAATGGTGTGTGTTTGTGTTGACCTAAAGACGTGGATCTAATGCAACAGAGAAAGAAAAGGAGAGAGAAGGAAAAGAGAGGAGAAAGTCTGTGAGCACAGCCAGAGACTTCAACACAAAATATAGTTATAAAAGAAAAGAAAACTATCCGTAATTCATATAGTCATTTTAGCCAAATTCTAACAGTAGGGTTGTCAAAAGTCTCCCAATTTTTTAAAACTAATTTTATACTAATTTTCAAAACTTTGCCCCCCCCCCCCCCCCCCCATGCGGCTACTGGATAATAATAAACCACCAACTTTAATGCGGGCCACCGGCCACAATAACATCAACAATAGGTAAGTTTGAAATGTCGGAATTCAGTTAAATTTTGGGGTCTTTGTTTTTATCCTTGTGGTATCGAAAATGGTATAGAGTATCGAATATTTTCCTTAGTATCGGTATCAAGACAACACTACCACCCAGCCTCACCTGCTGCCTCCTGTCTGTGAAGTTGAAGTTGAAGATCCACTGACAAGTGGAGGCTGGCACTGTGAGCTGTGAGAGTTTCTGATGGAGGGTTTCTGGAATGATGGTGTTGAATGCAGAGCAAAACTTCACGGACAGGATCCTGGTGTATGTCCCTGGAGTGTCGGGTGTTGAAGGATGAAGTGCAGTCCAATGTCAAATGCCTTTTTACTCAATAGCCTCAGAAACTTTGAAAGCAGAACGGGTGTTAATTATGTTTAATAATTGTCTGAGGTTATAAAAGGAGCATCAGTTTTTTATTGATCCTGTATGATCAGTATATGACCTCACCGAAGATTCCTTGCTTCTTAGCCATGATCCTGGTATAGCCTGGAATAACGTAGGTAACGAACAGTAACCCCACATTCTATTAGTATGGGTGCAGCCCTTTAAGGATATCGCTTCACTACTTGACACACTTAATTGAAGCGAAACTACGCTGTTTTTTTCCACATCACTGTATTTCTTTTCTTTAGACTCGACCCAGTCATAATAGAGCCTGCTGCTCCTGGCGTGAAGATGACATCTCTGATGTTTGCCTCAGAGACAGACTGTATTGTTGTTGGGGACAGTGATGGACATGTGACTGTCTATCAAATCAAGAATCTCGGTGTTGGGAAGAGAAGCCAGGTAAAGTAGTAAATAGGTGGCCAGGAAGTATTACTTTCAATCTTCGCTGACAAATGTCGTAGACGTAGAAGAACCAAAGGGAATCATTTAATTGATGTTTGTAGTAGTTATCAAAAATCTTTAGTAACATCAGAATGTTTTCGGAATCTTACTTTTCAGATGGACGTTCTGGACAACCTCCTCCGCTCTGCATTTTCCACATAACTACAAGAGAGTGATGATACCCATGTGTCATATGGGGCTATGTTAAAAATTCTACATCTTTGATATGAAGAGTGGGCATTGCAGTGACGATTGGGCTTCTTTTCTGATCTTACAGTCATTTTTGTTGAGAAAATGTGGAGTCTCCAAAGTGTACTTAGCATCATAGGATAACAGCAAATCACATAAATGAAATGTCAGAAAATGCATTTGATGTATTTTATAAAATAACTAACAATTATTAAACTTAATAGTCGCTTCTTTGTCTCTCACCATTTAAAAATGTTTTACTCTCCAGGTTTACCTTATTGTCGGACTGAGTATAATTCTTTTTCAACACAATAGAAAAAATAACTTTAATTTTTACATTCAACAAATTTTTAAAAGGTCAATTTCAAGACTGGGTGTAGTCAAACATATGGCAACAGAATAAATTGTGCACGAAGATGATGGGCATGGCTCTCGTCCTATTCAAATTTTGTTTCACATTTGTTTTCATACCTTGTGTAGCTTTTACTCACCACATATTGGCTGAATAAATAAATGTTTGTAATTTGGTGACCGGCGTCATGCCATGTATGATTTCAAATTCACAATGTTGTCACGTCTGGGGGAATGTCTGGTGTCTCGTCATGTGTTGATTACCTATTGTGTACACCTGGGGTTCCCCTCCCTCATGTGTTTAAATAGTCCTCGTTTCCCATGTCCTGGGCCAGTGTGTTTTTGTGCTTTCGTCCTTCTGTTTTCGTCTTTCTGTTCTCGTCACCCCTCGCCACGTCAGGTTTGATTTTGTCACAGCCATGCCATAGCCTAGTTTACTTTATTGCCATAGCCTTTGTTTTTGCCACAGCCATGTTAATCTTGTTTGTACTTTGCCATAGCCACGTTTTTTGTCATAGCCATGTTTTTCCACAGCCATGTTAATCTTGCTTTGTTACTTTGTCCATAGTTTTCTCACAGCCTTGATTTGAACTTTGCCCGCATCTACTCCGTTTGAGTGCGTTTTTGTTAAAATAAACCCTTGTTTCTGAATCTCCGCGACAGAGTCCTCCCTCCAAGATCCACCTCCCTGACAAATGTCTTGTTTTGTTTCATCCATAGTTTTAACTTCAATACTTGCTTACTCCATGTCAGCGTAGTGGTTGGGGCTGAAGCCTACTCTAGCTGGCCATGTCAAAAACCCTGGTTAGTTCAAGATGACACAGAGACGATGACTGACAGCCACACTTGCTCACTCCTAAACAAAAATGGCCCTTGTTGGGATTCAAAACAGGAATCGTATAGCTGTAAGGTAACAACTACCTTACCACGTCTTAACTACTACACCAATTTGCAGCCCCTGTTTAGTTTCAAATTAATATCTTCATTTTTTTTCTTTGAGATTAAGTTTCAAAATGAAAAGATGAATTTGTGTAATAATGCAATTCATGACTACAAAAATACAATACATCATATCAACAGTTCCCCTCTTTTGAGTTAGTATCAGCTTAGACATATATATATATAGATGCCGCATTGAGGGCTGAATCGTACATCAACGTCGCCGCTATCTTGGATGTGGCAAAGTGGAGAATCGGAGTCAGCGATCAGATGGTGAACCGGTGTAAATCTCAGGGTTTTATGTCCGCCAACTTTTCAAAAGGCTGTCCTGTGATGTATGCCGAGGTAGTTTGATGTCTGATGCTGTACCCGCATCATCAGTGCTGCTCAACCTAAAAAACAAATGATGTGATTCCACAAACTGAGGCCAAAACTGCCAAACTGAAGACCCTTAAATTAGGGAGTGCCAACATATGAAATAATCTGCGCAAAAGTATTATTTTCCAAGGTTTTCAACTTGCACACCCATACAGACTGCAGTTGTATAGCTGTGTATTTATATTTATGGGACGTGCGGTCAGGGGAGGCAGAGCCTCACCGGTCATCATCACAAGAAAAACATAAAATTAATATTAATATTTGTGTGCTGATCTTTACGCATGACTAATTGTGAAAATTTTAATTGTCAAAATCACTGAAATTGCATATTTTCATTTGAAATACACGTGCGGCAGCAACAAGCACATCTGAACCTCTGATTGCGCAATCCATCCCAAACTGTTCCATATACGTTTCTATAGCCTGATTTTCCAGTCTGGCCAATGTATTCATCCATGTGTGTCTGTCTGTATGCATGTATGTAGGTACGTATGTATGTATGTATGTATGTATGTTCATCACCATGGCTCTATCTATATATATATATATATTATAAATGTGAATTTAAAAACGATGAATCTAAATTAGTTAAATGTAAGTGTTTGTGCTCTTTATCCAGAAAACCCTCAAGTCACATCTACTTTTCAGGCACTGGTTAGTATGGACACAGATTACATGTTGAATTTCAATATTTATATTACAATAACAGAGTTACACGCATTAGTAGCTGAAAAAACTCAGCATTAAAAGTACAGACGCTGGATTGGTGCTTCCTTATATCCTAAACATCAGGAGTAAAAATGTATAATGATCACTTTAAAAGTTACATATGGTTTTTTTTGTGCATTTTTACTTTCCCGGATATTTTAGTGTTTGTGTGAATAAGGTGCATTAACTATAAGCATTTTGTACAGAGGCGCTTTATGGAGTTCAGTCCGTTTCCTTGTATTAGTTGACAGGGAGTTCTGCCACATCCAATATGGCAGACACTCTGACGTATCGCTTCAACGGACCAACAGGCTTAACGCGGCGTCAATGTATATATGTCTGAGGGTATCAGTGGATGCAAAAGCAGGGGAGTTTTTATTTTATTTTAATAAATGACCATTCTTAAAAAAAAATTATTTATTAAACTCATATCATTAACAACAAAAACATAATGGGCCCCAAAATAACAGGGTGTGTTGAGCGAACTTTTTGCAGTAAATGCAGAATGGACTCTAAAGGTTGATAAACTTTTATGCATAATATACGCAACATAGGTGCTCAAACTTTTACAATTCCTCAGTCTTTATTAAAGCTCTGCTTCACTAAGGACTGTTTATTTTATACAGGGTATACCTTAATTTAATTCTATTGAACAATAAAAAAAACGAATAAAATAGGGTGAATTAAGTCATTATTAAGATTGTGTCCAAACAACAATTCAGCAAATTTTCGACAGCCCAAAAAAACAAAAAAAAACATTCCATTTGATCATGTTTTTGACATCCATCCATAAAAAAAAAAAGTTTATTATTAATAGTACTACAGGGTTCAAGCCTATTCAGCTGTCATTAAGGTAGAGGCAGGGTACACCCTGGAATGTAAGGGAGGCAGGATTTTACACTTTGAATCACCGTTTAACTTCACATGCATGTTTTTCAGACCGTTGCTGGATTGTGGTGAACCAAAGAAAAAAAAAAAAAACATTCTGCAAAATAGGCAAAATGTGTACGAGGGGCAATTTGAACCACAAACCATTTGTTCTGAGGTATCAGTGCTTACAATGTATCCCCATGCATTTACAGTGAATGTTGCATCCAGTCAAGTATTTTTTTTCTTCTTTACTCATCTTACCTCAACCTTTTAGTCAGTGAATTAATGCAGGCATTGTGCTAAACAGACTGGTATGGAAGGGACTGTGGAGAGAATTAAAAAGTATTGAAAAATAAAAAATATAAACAAAACACAACTCAAATATATGGATTCATTTGTCAAATTCACTAAAACTATTGGCACCCACCTCTTCATTTCTTTACCTCTGGCCGTTGGTTGCATGAACTTTTCATAATAGGGAGAAAGAAATCGGGATTTTATTTTAATTAAGGGGAAGGATAATGGAGCACTGTGACATTGTCGACAGGTTTAACCTAAACAAAAACCACAACGCAAACACATGTCTATATAATTTCCACCAACTTTTATAGGGATATAAAAAGTACTGAAAATTCTGTTTTGAGAAATCCAACTTTTACAAACCCACATCAACGTTATATTCAGAATAAAAACACAATGGCTATGAAATCGTAATTTTTTTCCCCCGAAATGAACCTATATGTTTATGTTTATGTTTATGTTTATGCA